GCCGGTGTTTCCTTGTGCGCCCGATCTCCGTGGAGATCGGGCGTGTGGCTGGTCCGCAGCCACCCCTCTTCCTCCTCTCTCTCAAGAGGGAAGGGAGAGGGGTGGCCGCCAAAGTTCCCTCTAAGCTATGGAGCCCTGTCAGCAAAAATTCTACTTTGTGAGCTATTGGCATTAAAGTTGTGAGCAGGAGATTTGGCTGCTGCATAAATTAGTTTGCTCTGGAGCCATCCTTCCTGAGCTAAGACAAAAATGTATGAGCCAGAGGCTAAAAAACTGTGAGCTGGCTCTCATTAACTCAGCTTAGAGGGAACGCTGGTGGCCACAGGTGTTGGGGCTTGGGGCCGGGGCTTCCCCCAGTGGCCAGCTGGCCACCGGCGGGTAGAAGCCCCCCCAAAAGCGGGGGACCCCTGTCAAACCGGGGGGGGGGGTTTGGCAACCCTAGGTCTGTGCCATGTGAAACAGTACGCTTTCATTTATCACATGCAGCAGCACACCGACGTTGAAGTTTTCAACCCGCATACTGAAAATTCACGAACTTTTAAACGTTTTTACAAGAATTTTGTCGAAGAGGTTCCAGACCTCCATTCTGGCACGTTCTCCCAGGGAAAAAAAACCCCTCTGGTTTTCACTGAAATTACGATCGAACTGTGATCTGTTTGGATGGCTGTGTCGCCCGTGTGATTCCTCTCCTCGTGGCCAGGCCAGATAATTTGCTGCCTGAATCCCTGGTTTCTAATTCTTAAATTTCCCAAAGTGAAGCGGTGCGGTTCAAAACCTAGCGACTCAAGGAGGGACCAGAAGAAAAACGCCGTCCTTTGTAGATCATTTAACTGGACAAAGGGCGCTTTGACTCTTGAGAGCTGATGCCCGGGAATATCTGCTTGGTTTCTAACGTGTTCCTGGATTTGAATCTAGGATCACACACACTACATAACCTACTCTCAATCCACTTTCAATGCACTTTCCAACTGGATTTTACTGTGTGAACTGGCAAAGTCCAATTCGAAAGTGCATTTTTTTTTTATAAATGTTTTATTGGTTTTACCAAAACATAATAAACACATATACCCACATATATACAGACAAAGCAAACAAATAGACAAATAAACCATATATCCCCACACCTAACCCCCCAGCCTACCAACTCTATTAGATTTCAATATCACGTTAACTATATATGGCATACATAAGATAAATTCTCTCAGGTATTTCCAATTGCCATTACAATTTCAGTATCTCTAATTCTTTCCTTACATCCAATAAATTCGAAAGTGCATTGAAAGTGGATTCTTTAGCGTGTGCGATTGCAGACTAGGTGTTTTACGGCAGACCAACGGGGCTGCCCTCTGAAACAAGAATTTTGACACTTACCTGGGAGTAAGACCCGTTGAATACAATGGGACCCTGCATAAATGGGCATGAGGACCAGTGTTCGCTCTAAGCTAAGTTAGTGTGAGCTAGCTCACAGTTTTTTAGCCTCCGGCTCACACATTTTCGCCTTCGCTCAGGAAGGAGGGCTCCAGAGGAAACAAATGTATGCAGCAGCCCAATCACTCACTCACAACTTTAATGCTGGTAGCTCACAAAGTAGAACTTTTGCTCAGAAGACTCCGCAGCTTAGAGGGAGCATTGAGGACTGGTCTGTACTTCTATGCCTTTTGGATCTTGAATCCCACTGCTGAGTTCCAGGGAGGAGTTCACCTTACCCACCAGGGAGAGGGTCAGATCTCGGAATGTATGTCCTCCCCGCCTCCCCCCCCCAGCTCACTGGCTTGGCTGGGCCACCCTTTGAGAACCCTTTCCGATAGACGGCCGCTCACCGATTTCTTGCTCGTTTTCAGAAGGATGTCCCGGGCCAGAGTGTTGAAGGCCTGAGGGAAAAGGAAGGGGGAGGGGAAGAATGATGGTTGGGCTCAGTAAATGATTCTGATGCATTACTTTATCAGCAAATCTTCTTTGCTCCCCCCACAACATCCTTGCGAGGTAGGCCATTATCAGTCAGTAGAGAGAAGAAGAAGAGATTGGATTTATACCCCACCCTTCACTACCCGAAGGAGTCTCAGAGCGGCTTACAAACTCCTTTCCCTCCCCCTCCCCACAACAGACACCCTGTGAGGTGGGTGGGGCTGAGAGAGCTCTGAGAGAACTGCCCTTGAAAGAACAGCTGAGAGAACTTGTGACTGACCCAAGGTCACACCAGCAGCTGTATGTGGAGGAGTGGGTTGTTTTTTAAAAAAAAGCCATTTGAGCTAACAACCATCAGCGCATGGCAAGGAAACCGCATAACTCCATTTCAGTTCCTTCTCTGGATGTGGGAACTCCCTAAATCCAAATAAGCCTTCTGCCGTCTCTGCTTGTGCCTGGTGGCAGCAAGGGCCTGGCCCTGGTCCCAAGGGACAGCCACGGTTCCTTAGGGAGGATCTTCCCCTCGCACACCTCGATGGTTCACACACACCCGTGACTCACCTCTTCCACGTTCAAGCTGGATTTGGCACTCGTCTCGAAGAACCGGATCCCGTGCTCCTTGGACAACTGTTGGGAAAGAAGGGGAGGGCACACACAGAGCCAGAGCTCATCAGTTCTCGGAAGCTAAGCAGGGCCAGCCCGGGTTAGTCCTTGGATGGGAGGACACCAAGGAAGTCCAAGGTTGCTACGCAGAGGCAGGCAAGGGCAAAACACCTCCAGTTATCTCTTCCCCTGACCTGGATAGCCAAGGATAGCCCGATCTCATCAGTTACTGGAAGCTAAGCAGGGTCGGCCCAGTTTAATCCTTGGGTGGGAGGCCACTAGGGAAGTCCAGGGTTGCTACGCAGAGGCAGGCAAGGGCAAAACACCTCTAAGAACATAAGAACATAAGAGAAGCCAATGTTGGATCAGGCCAAAGGCCCATCCAGTCCAACACTCTGTGTCACACAGCGGCCAAAAATACCAGGTGCCAACAGGAGGTCTTATCAGTGGGGCCAGGACACTAGAAGCCCTCCCACTGTTGCCCCCCCCCCCCAAGCACCAAGAAGACAGAGCATCCCTTGCCCCAGACTGAGAGTTCCTATTTATAACTTCTGGCTAATAGCCACTGTTGGACCTCAGCTCCATATATTGGTGCCGTCCATGCTTGTAGCTGCCGCCACCTCCTGTGGCAATGAATTCCATGTGTTAATCCCTCTTTGGGCGAAGAAGGACTTCCTTTTATCTGTTCTAACCCGACTGCTCAGCAATTTCACGGAGTGCCCACCAGAGTTCTTGTATTGTACTGTTTGCCTCTTGCTCTGAAAACCCCATTACGGGGTCACCATAAGTCGGCTGCGACTTGACCGCCCTTTCCTCCACCACCACATCCTAGTTTCAAGAATGAAAATCTGTACTCCCTCTGCTGTTTACATACGGGACGATTGCCCAGTGGCGGAGCCGCTGCTTCACATGCGGAAGGTCCTGAGTTCAATCCCCAGCATCTCCAATGAAATAATCTGCTACCAGGTGATGTGAGAGGCCTTTCCCGAAGACCCAGGAGAGCCACTGCCAGTCCGAGGGGACAAGAGGGACCTCGATGGACCCAAGGGGCTGACTCAGTCTAAAGCAGCCACATGTGTTCACCAATGTTCCCTCTAAGCTGTGGAGTCTTGTGAGCAAAAATTCTACTTTGTGAGCTGCTGGCATTCAGGCTGTGAGCAGGCAATTTGGCTACTGCATGAATTAAGTTTGCTCCGGAGCCCTCCTTCCTGAACTAAGACGAAAATGTGTGAGCCGGAGGCTAAAAAACTGTGAGCTAGCTCACACTAACTCAGCTTAGAGGGAACATTGGTGTTCACGTGTATAGATTGAGCATTTACACCTCGCCCCTCAAAAAAATCCTGTTCTCCCACCCCATATCCTCCCTCGACCGCGTTTCGATACCTTTTCCGCTCGATCCCGGGGCACTTTGCGCTTGGTTTCCATGTCACACTTGTTCCCCAGCAAAAGGCGCTCGACGCCGGCTGAAGCGTTCTGCAAAAGAGGCACAGGCCGCATTGGAAAGGAAGTCCCCATCCGGCCTGGGGTAGCCACATGACCGTCCTTCTCTCTGCACGGGGCACGCGTGGAAGGGGCCAGCAGCGATTCTGTGGATAGCTTTGTGAAATAGTGGAGGCAGCGGGAGGCCACATGGCCACTTGGCCTTTCCCCTTCTCTCCCTACCTCCTGTAGCAAAACAAATGCATTTTCTTGAGTACCCATCAGGTGGGTAGGAGGAAAGGTAACAGAGCGGTGGGGGAACAGGGGCAAACTGGGCTGGATCTCATGACCCCACCCAGTGTTTACAACCAGCTTCTTCCCCCTAAAGTAGGGGTCCCCAACCTTTCTGAGCCTGCGGGCAACTTGGGAATTTTGACGCAGAGTGGTGGGCACAACCACAAAATGGCTGCCACAAGAAGAAGGGGGGGGGAGGAAGTAGGGTTGCCAAGTCTATCTTTGCCGGAAGCGGAGGGCACCCGGCCGGTGTCTTGTGTGCGCGCATGCAAAGCGCACGCACACCACACGCATGTCACCCGGAAGTGACGGGAGGACGCCAGGCACGCTGGGGGCGGGGCCACGGCCATACAAGGGAAAACCATAGAGTTTTCCCTTGTATGGCGGTGGCCCCGTCCCCAGCGTGCCCGGCGTCATGACGTCACTTCCCGTCGGGGTGGAGTTCCCCCTGGGGCCCAATCCGGCGGCACCGGGGAACGGGCCTCTGGGGCGGGGATTTCCCCGCCCCCCCCCCGGGGGGAATTGGGATCCCTAGGAGGAAGGAGATTGGATTTATACCCTGCACTGCACTACCCGAAGGAGTCTCAGAGCGGCTTACAAACTCCTTTCCCTTCCCCTCCCCACAACAGACACCCCGTGAGGCAGGTGGGGCTAAGAGAGCTCTGAGAGAACTGGGACTGGCCCAAGGTCACCCAGCAGGCCTCATATGTTTTAAAGTGGCTTACAATCTCCTTCCCTTCCTCTCCCCACAACAGACACCCTGTGAGGTAGGTGGGGCTGAGAGAGCTCTGAGAGAACTGGGACTGGCCCAAGGTCACCCAGCAGGCCTCATGTGTTTCAAAGTGTCTTACAATCACCTTCCCTTCCCTCCCCACAACAGACACCCTGTGACATAGGTGGGGCTGAGAGAGCTCTCCTGAGGACTGCCCTTGAGAGAACAGCTCTGAGAAAACTTGTGACTGACCCAAGGTCATGCCAGCAGCTGCATGTGGAGGAGTGGGGAAATCAAACCCGGTTCTCCCAGATTTGAGTCCGCGCCCCTAACCACGACACCAAGCTGGTGGAGCCAATGACTAAATGACTGCCACGGGAGGCCGAGCCAGTCACAAAATGTCATATACATAACTCTAATAGTAATTCAACGTTTCAGGCAAAAACGATGCTTAACAGGAGACCTTTTAAATGAACAGTTTTTTAAAAAAAATCTACACAGCCCGCCAGACCTCCCGCGGCCCATCAGAACCCCTGCTAGGCAAAAGCCCCACCAGGCCTGCTTGCATTCTAAACACATTCGGTGGGTGCCAGGAACGGTGTTGGCGGGCACCGTGGCACCCACAGGCAGCCCGCAGGGGACCCCTGCCCTAAACGCGACCATCTTCTTTTAAGCCACCCACTTTTCATGCACAGTTTTCCACCCTCTCCCCTTCATTCCTCCCCCCCCCCCCCCTTTTGCTCGCTTACCTCCTTGATGCTCTTCATCCAGTTCTGGATGTTCTCGAAGGACCTGTCGTCAGTGATGTCGTAGACGAGGATAATCCCCTGAGGAGGAGGCATGCGTTACGGAGGGTGGGGGCGCTCCTTCGAGGGATGGACTCGTTCCTCCCCTCCCCAGACGCCATCCACCCAGATTCCCACTGGAACCCCCCTCATGCCCCACAACCTTTGGGCTGTTCCACTCTTGAGACTACCCCTTTGAGGCGCAGCCGGTATTTCATTGGTGCAAACCCATGAGGAGGAGGAGGAAGAAGATGAGGAGGAGGAGGAAGAAGATGAGGAGGAAGAAGAAGATGAGGAGGAGGAGGAGGAAGAAGAAGATGAGGAGGAGAAGGAGGAAGAAGAAGAAGAGGAGGAGGAGGAGGAGGAAGAAGAGGAGGAGGAGGAAGAAGAAGATGAGGAGGAGAAGGAGGAAGAAGAAGAAGAGGAGGAGGAGGAGGAGGAAGAAGAGGAGGAGGAGGAAGAAGAAGATGAGGAGGAGGAGGGGGGAAGAAGAGGAGGAGGAAGAGGAAGAAGATGAGGAGAAGGAAGAGGAGAAGGAAGAGGAAGAAGAGGAGGAGGAAGAAGACTGGATTTATACCCTGCCCTTCACTCAGAGTCTCAGAGTGGCTTACAATCTCCTTTTGCCTTCCTCTCCCCACAACAGACACCCTGTGAGGTAGGTGGGGCTGAGAGAGCTCTTTCAAGAACTGCTCGTGAAAGAACAGCTCCAAAAGAACTTGTGACTGACCCAAGGCCACACCAGCGGCTTCATGTGGAGGAGTGGGGAACCAAACCCGGTTCTCCCAGATTAGAACCCGCGCTCCTAACCACGACACCAAACTGGCAGAAACTCAAGAGCCAACTGTATTCTGTGCCTTTCAGGATGCTCCTTGTAACATGCGAGCCAACTGGCCTTTAATTCAATGCTTTCCAAAGACTTAGAGCGTTATTGTTTTCTCAATAACTTACTATTAAGATATTCCATTCCTGATGACCTCCTTAGCTCTTCAACAAATAACTCAGATCTCAGAGAATGGGTATTTAAGCATGATGCTCTGTTAGATAGACACTCAATTTTAAAATCACAGTCTGCTACCTGGTTTAAATCATTTAAGAATGATCATTTTAGATCACCTTACCTGGTTAATATAGATAATCATAACCTTAGAGCAGCTTTCACATGTCTGCGCTTTGAATCAATGCCTACGGCCGTATTGGTTAGCCGTTATAGTAGAACACCTAAGGCACAGCGTTTATGTATTTGTGGCTCTCCTGCTATTGAGGATCTCTCCCATTACATTTTTGATTGCCCATTGTATTCCCAACCTAGGTCAAAATTTTTATCTGGTATTTTGTCAGTTCTGAGCTTTTTATTCAGTCCCAGAGAAGATTATATTTTTGCTAGCCGATGCCAATGCCGATGTATGCAACAGAATGGCTTTATTTGCCTTGGCTGCAAGGAAAATACGGGCCAACGCTGTTCCTAGGGGAACTGGCTAATACTGATTTTAGTCGGTATGCTGTGAATGAACTAACTGTTTATAACCTCGGTTTTATGGATTTACAGTGTTTTAGACCGTATTTTATCTTATACAGTTTTCTATGTTTTATTGCATTCTTCTCTGTTTGTGGTTTGTAATGGCCTATGGCTAAATACAATAAAAAACCTTCTCTCTCTCTTGTAACACGCGAAGCACTACCCATCCACAAGCCTGGATGACTTCTGCTTCTATTGAATAAACACGAGCAAGTCCATTATTATGCAACACCACATTATTGTATTGTTATTATGATTGTAAGCAGGGGTCATTTCGTAGAAAAAGAGGTGCAGGAGCTCATTAGCATCACTCATTAGCATAACTCTTTTGCATATGCCACACCCCCTGACATCACCGGGCTTGTACCTGAATAAAACTTGGCCTTAAAGGTGCCACTGGACTGTTTTGGATTGCTAGCTATGGGGGGGGGGGAACGCACAGACCTGCCCTCACAGAGGAGGGAGAGCTTGTACCTGAAGGCGGGCCGGGGGGGAGGGGGCTCTGCAACTTACCTGGCTGCCTCTTGCTCCTCATGGCCCGACTGAGGGCTGCTGGGAGCAGGGGGCAGGGCTCGTTGCATGTGCCTGCCACCTGGGCTCCTTACTGCCGGAGCTCCGCTCCTGTGCGCTCCCACAGGAAATGACCCCTGATTGTAAGCCACCTTGAACCAAGAGGAAAGGTGTGTTCTAATAAATAAATAAGTTTCTAGCCTGGATGGTGCACAGACAAGCCAGTGGAATCAGAGTTGCCAGAAGAAAGCAGAGCGAGATGGCCAGGTGTCAGTGGGTGGAATTACCCAAGCCCTGCCTGTGTCTGAAGAAGAAGAGATTGGATTTATACCTTGCCCTTCACTCGGAGTCTCAGAGCAGTTTACAGTCTCCTTCCCTTCCTTTCCCCACAACAGATAACCCCATGAGGTAGGTGGGGCTGAGAGCTGACTCAGAACTACCCTTGAGAGAACAGCTCTGAAGGAACTTACGACCGACCAAAGGTCACACCAGCAGCTGCATTTGGAGAAGTGGGGAATCAAACCCGGTTCTCCCAGATTAGAGTCCGTGCACTTAACCACTACACCAAACTGGCTCTCAGCCAGTTTGGTGTAGTGGTTAAGTGTGCGGACTCTAATCTGGGAGAACTGGGTTTGATTCCCCACTCCTCCACTTGCACCTGGCTGGATGACCTTGGGCAAGCCGTAGTTCTGATAAGGGCTGTTCTTGAAAAAGAGCAGTTTCTGTCAGAGCTCTCTCAGCCCCACCCACCTCACAGGGTGTCTGGTTGTGGGGAGGGGAAGGGAAAGGAGTTTGTAAGCCACTCTGAGACTCCTTCAGATAGTGAAGGGCGGGGTATAAATCCAATCTCTTCTTCTTCTTCTTCTTCACATACACAATAAACAACTTGCGTATGCCTTTTTGGAGGGGTATCTTCTTTTCAGGGTCAACTTCCTTTGGAGTAAATAGAGTCTCTTTCAGTGCTGTGTTCCTCAAAATGCCTTGAGGAATCAACTGTTATGGGGCAGCCCTATGTGTTACTGCGGTGTCTCCACAGCTACGCGATGCTGAGGGAAATACACTCAGTGCATACTCAGGAGCACTCTCACCAACCTTGGGTCAGTCACAAGTTCTCTTGAAGCTGTTCTCTCAAGGGCAGTCCTCAAGAGAGCTCTCTCAGCCCCACCGACCTCCCAGGGTGTCTGTTGTGGGGAGGGGAAGGGAAAGGAGTTCGTAAGCCACTCTGAGACACCTTTGGGTAGCGAAGGGCGGGGTATAAATCCAATCTCCTCCTCCTCCTCTGCTCTCACATCACCTGTCTTTCACATCACCTACTGCCTGGTCCTTTTAACTGGAGGTGCCGGGGATTGAACCAGGGACCTTCTGCGTGCCAACCAGATACTGTACCACTGAGCCACGGCCCCTCCCCAGGAATGAAGCAGGAATCCAGTGGCACCTTCAAGACTAACCATCTGTATTCCAGGAAGGCAGCTGTGTTGCTCTGCAGTAGGAGAACATCTGAGTCCACAGCATAAGGTTTCGTGCGTCAAAGCTCACCTTGTCAGAATGTATTCTAGCAGAAGCTAGGGTGAGTCAGAGCTGACTTCATCAGATGCAGAAGAGATTGTGTCATCGGTAAAAGTCTGACTCACGAGAGCTAGGAATAAATATTGTTCCATTCCGGGTGCCACCGGAACCCTGTTTTAATTCTGCTGCTACAGACTGATGTGGGTGGAATGATTGTTCTCAGGCTGGGACAGGGGAGTCCCGGGTTCAAATCTGCACGCTGCCACGCAGCTTCCTGGGCTGACCTTAAGCCGATCGCCCTCTCTCAGGATAAAAATGGGGGAAGGGGAAGCCAGAGAGCCCTCCTTGAGGCAGGGTGGGATAAAATGCACAGATGGATGATAAAGGTTTAGGAAATTGTAGGCGGTATGGAGAAAGTGGGCGGACAGGATTTCTTCTTCAGTGGAAAGAATTACGTGGCAGGAGAGTCAGGGCACAGGAGAGAAGGCTGCAGGAGATGTAATGAAATTAATAGAAGATGCTGCCACCAGGTGTGGCGGAGACCTGCTAGTTTAGATGGCATTGAATAATAATAATAAATTATCGTATGGCATTGTGTGCAGAATAGCCAGAAGATCCTAAGTTTGTCTGGCAGTCAGAAGTTCTAGTTCTTTTAGTGTTATGCACCACTAGGTGGTGAGCTAGACTTGTTTGGTGCAGTGGTTAGGTGTAGTGGTTAGGAGCCTGGACTCTAATCTGGGAGGACCGGGTTTGATTCCCCACTCCTCCACATGCAGCTGCTGGTGTGACCTTGGGTCAGTCACAAGTTATTTCCACAGCTGTTCTCTCATGAGCAGTCCTTGAAAGAGCTCTCTCAGCCCCGCCTACCTCACAGGGTGTCCGTTGTGGGGAGGGGAAGGAGATTATAAGCCACTCTGAGACGCCTTCGGGTAGTGATGGGCGGGGTATAAATCCAATCTCTTCTTCTTTTTTGAGGCAAGAGACGTTTCAGAGGTGGCTTGCCACTGTCTGCCTCTGCGTCGTGCCCCTGGTGTTCCTTGGCGGTCACCCATCCAAGTACTAGCCAGGACCGACCCTGCTTAGCTTCTGAGATCTGACAAGATGCTTTGAGATGGGTGTTGACGGACAGAAGCCATGCTAGCTAAGAAAAGCCTGCAGGTTCCAAAGCCGTTTGTAGGTCCAAGGCAGGTTCCAAACACCGTTTGCTTGGAGACACAAAGTAAATGAGAGCTATGGGCTTTCTGCCTCGTTTCTGGCCTTCTGGGAAGTGCATGGCCAGTAGGATGGGAGTCAGGAAGCCAGTCCAGACGGGCCTCGGTGCCGGTCCTACAGACAGGCTGTTCTTCTGACCTTTGCTTTTAGGGGGCTTTCTCAAGGCCCCTCACTGTGAAAGGGAGATCCCTCCCCTCCCGGGAAAGACCCTTGCTCAGAGAACAAGGGGATCGGGGCCAATTGCCTACCATGGCTCCCCTGTAGTACGCGGTGGTGATGGTTTTGAAGCGTTCCTGTCCAGCCGTGTCCCTGCAAGTAAAAAAAACCCAAAGTCACTCAATTCAAGGCCATGAAACGACCTCCCTTCCAATCCCGTTTCTCCTTTCCTCCTCACCCTCAATCCAAATCAGTTTCAGTACCTTTATTAGCAAAAAGCCCAGTAACACCTTTAAGATTAACAAACTTTATTGTCGCATAAGCTTTCGAGGAACACAGCTCTCTTCGTCAGACGCATCTGACGAAGAGAGCTGTGTTTCCCGAAAGCTTATGCGGCAATAAAGTTTGTTAGCCTTAAAGGTGCTACTGGGCTTTTTACTGTTTTTCAGCAACGGACCAACACGGCTAACTCCTCCGGATCTAGGTCCTTTATTGGCGTACATAAAAACATACAGCAAAGAAAACAGATTGAAATGCTACCTCAGATTTGAAATGCAATAAAAGGTCACCCTGCAAGAAATTTAATCTTATGCTCCCTAATCATCGTAGTAAAACGTCCAGTAGCACTTTTAAGACTAACAAACTTTATTGTAGCATAGGCTTCTGAGAAACACGGCTCTCTTCATCAGATGCATGGTGGGTATGAAGAAACTGGAAAGAGATCTATAGGTGGGTAAGGGGAGGGGGGGGAGAGGATGCAGAAAGGGCCACGTAAATGCACAGCAGTTGCAAATGTCATGGAAAAGGTAGAATGTGCAACCCAGGCTGGGTGTGACCCCTTCTTGCTATTGATGACTCTGAATGGAATACCTGAAAGGCAGTTACTTCTGGTAATGAGATAACCATCCAAAGTCTCATTACCAGAAGTAACTACCTTTCAGGTATCCCATTCAGATTCATCGACAGAAGGAAGGGCTCACACCCAGCCTGGGTTGCGGGCATTCTACCTTTTCCATGACTTTTGCAACTGCTTTGCATTTACATGGCACTCTCTGCATCCTCTCCCCCCTCCCCTTACCCACCTGTACATCTCTGGCCAGTCACTTCATACCCTCCATGCATCTGACCAAGAGAGCTGTGTTTCTCGGAAGCTTATGCTGCAATAAAATTTGTCAGTGGCTCAAGTGGTTAAGACGCTGAACTGCAGGCTGTGGAAGGTCGGTAGTTCAGCAGTTCAAGACCCGAGTTGCCGCATGACGGAGTACACTCCCGTCTCTAGTTCCAGCTCCTGCCAACCTAGCAGTTCAAAAGCAAGAAATTGCAAGTACATAAATAGGTACCACTTCGGTGGGAAGGTTACAGCGTTCCGTGAGCCTTGGTGTTTGGTCATGCCGGCCACATGACCACGGACAGCGCTGGCTCTTCGGCTTTGAAACGGAGTTGAGCACCGCAACCCTAGAGTCGGATTCGACTGGCTTTCGAGCAAGGGAACCTTTACCTTTTTAAAAGTGCTACTGGGCTTTTTACTATTCTGCAGCAACAGGCTAACGCGGATAACTCCTGTGGATCTAACCATCATAGCAACTGAAAGATACCTTGCTACAGAGTATATAATATGGGGACATCGGTCGGATAATAGAAAAACTAGCCTCTCTTCAGATAGTCCAGAAAGACTAAACAAGAGGGGACTGGTTATGGAGTCCCACACTTTTTCCATTAAAACCCCATTCCTCCTTTCCTCCTCACCCTCAACCCCAATCAATACCACAGTGCTCAGGTTCAACTGAATATCTCACCCCCACCCCCGCTGTTAAAAGTCAAATGGCAAGCTCCTTGGGGCAGAGACCTTTGCTTTCGACCACCCCCACCCCGGCACTTACCAAACCTGCAGTTTGATCCTCTTGCCCTCTATCTCCACCGTCCGGATTTTGAAATCGATCCCTGGATGGGAAAAGGAGGTGTCAGAGGCTGCGTGTAGGGGGGAGGGGTCACGCCTTTTGCTCCTGCTTAATTCACCAGGTTCCAATGTGCACACACCCGAGTCAATGCTCCACCCCACACACAATAAAAGCAGGTATTCAATAGAAAGGGGGGGGAGAGAGCAGTGGTTCTCTCCGTCTTTGGCCAGCCGCAACCTTTCCCCAGCTATTGCAATCCGCTCAGGACAATCCCAGAACCATGGGGTTTTCAAGACGACAGATGAGCAGAGGAAGGGGAGGGAGATTGTAAGATGCTCAGGGAGTCCGATCAGACAGCTCTTTAGATCCGCGCGAGGCACGATTGCCTCACGGATCTAAAGGTAATGTGCAGACACAAACATCTGGGAAATGTCCCTTTTCCGTGGGCATCCAGTGGCCCACCCGGTCCAACACTCTTGTGTCACACACTGGCCAAAACCCGGGGGCCACCAGGAGGTCCACCAGCGGGGCCAGAACTCCAGAAGCCCTTCCACAGTTGCTCCCCCCAAGCACCAAGAAGACAGACAGAGTGTTCCATCTAGACCTTGAGGCTAAGAGCCACTCATGGACCCCTGCTCCATATAAGAACAGAAGAGAAGCCATGTCGGATCAGGAGGACAGTGGCCCACCCAGTCCAACACTCTTGTGTCACACAGTGGCCAAAACCTGGGGGCCAGAACTCCAGAAGCCCTCCCAATGTTGCCCCCCCAAGCACCAAGAAGACAGAGCATCACTGCCTCAGACATAAGAACATAAGAGAAGCCATGTTGGATCAGGCCCGTGGCCCATCCAGTCCAACACTCTGTGTCACACAGTGGCCAAAACCCAAGGGCCATTGGGAGGTCCACCAGTGGGGCCAGAACTCCAGAAGCCCTCCCAATGTTGCCCCCACAAGCACCAAGAACACAGAGCATCACTGCCCCAGATAGTGTGTTCCCTCTATACCTTCCGGCTAAGAGCCACTCATGGGCCTCTGCTCCATATGTTGACCCAGTCCCCTCTTGGAGCTGCCTATGCTTGTAGCCGCCAACACTTCCTGAAGCAGTGAATTCTATGTGCTAATTACTCTTTGGGTGAACAGTGCCTTCAAAGGAACATACAGACTTTTGGTGGCAGGAGTGAGGCTTCAGCCGAGTCACTGGACCAAAGCAGGGACTCGGGTCCACTCCCAGCCATCAGTATTTATTCATGTATAGTCCTCCTTTCTTTCTGAGACTCAGGGCGGATTGAAGGATATAAAGCAGCACAATCAGATCGCACGAGGCAAGCAATGAATGATGCAATGGGACTAGGATTACAGGAGCAGAGAACAATGCAGACAACAAAGTATTTTACAGAAAGTGGATTACGAGGTACAGGACGGGTAGATTATGCATGGGAAAGAGCGGGTAGAGAAAGAGGTACTTTTCTCCCTTTCTCACAATACAAGAACTCGTGGACACTCCATGAAATTGCTGAGCGGTTGGGTTAGAACAGATAAAAGGAAGTACTTCTTCACCCAAAGAGTGATTAATGCATGGAATTCACGGCCACAGGAGGTGGTGGCAGCTACAAGCATGGACGGCTTCAAAAGGGAATTAGATAGGCATATGGAGCAGTGGTCCATCAGTGGCTATTAGCCACAAGGTATAGATAGGGGCTCTGGGGCAAGTGATGCTCTGTCTTCTTGGTGCTTGGGGGGGGGGGGTCAACAGTAGGAGGGCTTCTAATGTCCTGGCCCCACTGGTGGACCTCCTGATGGCACTGGTATTTCTGGCCACTGTGTGATACAGAGTGTTGGACTGGATGGGCCTTTGACCTGATCCAACATTGGCATCTCTTATGTTCTTATGTAGAAGCAAATGATATATCACTGTAGACTTTAATCCTGCAAGAAGAAGAAGAAGATATTGGATTTATACCCCACCCTTCACCTGGAGTCTCAGAGCAGCTTACAATCTCCTTTCCCTTCCCCTCCCCACAACAGGCACCCTGTGAGGTAGGTGGAGCTGAGAGAGCTCTCTTGAGGACTGCCCTTGAGAGAACAGCTCTGAGAGAACTTGTGACTGACCCAAGGTCACGCCAGCAGCTGCATGTAGAGGAGTGGAGAATCAAACCCGGTTCTCCCAGATTAGAGTCCGTGCCCCTAACCACAACACCACACTGGTAGAGCCAATGATTAAATGACTGCCACGGGAGGCCGAGCCCGTCACAAAATGTCATATACACAACTCTAATAGTAATACTTCAACATTTCAGGCAGAAACTATGCTTAACAGGAGACTTTTTAAATGAACAATTAAAAAAAAAAATCTACACAGCCCGTCAGATCTCCAGCGGCCAATCAGAACTTCGTGAGAGCTCTCTTGAGGACTGCCCTTGAGGGAACAGCTCTGAGAAAACTTGTGACTGACCCAAGGTCACACCAGCAGCTGCGCGTGGAGGAGTGGGGAATCAAACCCAGTTCTCCCGGGTTAGAGTCCGCGCACTTAACCACGACACCAAACTGAAAGGTGCTCTCCTGGGCTGTTCCATCCTACAACAGGGTTCCTTGAAAACGCTCCCTTGAGCATCACCTCTTGGTCCCGTGCTGACACAAACCAAGGCCCTGCAGCCAACAGGGGTTTGGTTTGGACCTGGCTGGGTGCGCTGAGGCAGAGATGGGCCTATTGTTTGTTTTTTTGTTTTGGGCCTGGGATGTCAAAAATACCTTGAACCGGCCCTGCCTGTCCCCAGTTGCGTTACGGATTAATTAATCCCATTTTAGCAACCCTGACGATGTACCCCCGGTCTACTCAGCAAGCCGATTTCCCAGAACCTCCTCCGCCTCCCACTCTGCATCTAGGCACGGCACGCCTAGGATACATGTTCCTAAAATTCCCACGGGATGTTTTCTTTTCTAACATCTGGCGGTTCTGACATTTGGATTTTCGGACTCGGCTCAGGGTAGTGTTCCCTCTAAGACGAGTCAGTGCGAGCTGGCTCACACAGTCTTTTAGCCTCCGGCTCACAGGTTTTTGTCTCCGCTCAGGAAGGACGGCTCCAGAGCAAACTAATTTATGGAACAGGCAAATGGCTCGCTCACGACTTTCATGCCAGGAGCTCACAAAGTAGGATTTTTGCTCACAAGACTCCACAGTTTAGAGGGAGCATTGGTTCGGGGACGGAGCCCCGATTCCTTGTCTCGGGCTGGGAGTTCTCATCCGACAGGGTGGGCCGATGGCTCTCAGAGGCAGCAGGCCATTACAGCGAAAGGGGAGATCCCAGGGCTGCCAGCTCCAGATTGGGAAATACCAGGCGATTTGGGGGCGGAGTCTGGAGAGGGCGGGGTTTGGAGAGGACGGGGACCTCAGCAAGGGTATATTTACATAGAACCCACCCTCCAGGGCAGTCATTTTCTCCAGGGGAACTGATCTCTTTCATCTGGAGATCCGTTGTCATTCCAGGAGATCTCCAGGTCCCACCTGGAGGCTGGCAACCCTAGAAAATCCATGTCTGGAAGTCGTGTGCTTCTGAACACCAATCAATGGGGGGCGCTACCGTACTGGAGGGAGGGTGACCTTAGCTCCATGCCCAGCTTTTGGGCTTCCCAAAAGCATCCTGCTATTTGCTATTGGGAATCAGACGCTCTCACTCACCAAAGCAATTCTTAGGCACCCCACCTTTGAGGACTAACGACAGAGCCTCCATATTCCGAGGCAGTGTACCTCCAAATGCCATGGAAGAGACAATAGGGGTCTCTGGAAGGTACTGAAGGTCGGACCAGGACCAACGGGTTGAAATTAAATCAAAAGAGTTTTCAGCTAAACAGTAGGAAGAACTTCCTGACGGTTCGAGCGGTTCCTCGGTGGAACAGGCTTTCTCGGGAGGTGGTGGGCTCTCCTCCTTGGGAGGTTTTCAGACAGGGGCTTGATGGCCATCTGACAGCAGTGCTGATTTGGTGAACAGATCGTGAGAAGGAGGGCAGGAAGGGTCGCCTCAGTGCTTAGTTCTTCTGGCCCTTTCTTACACGCCCAGGGAATTGCTGATCACCTCTTTAGGGTCAGGAAGCAATTTTTCTCCAGGCCAGTTTAGCCAGGGATCATGGAAGTTATTTTTGCTCTCTTCTGGGCATGGAGTAGGGGTCACTGGGGGTCGGGGGGGGGAGGTATTGGTGAATTTCCTGCATTGTGCAGGGGGTGGACTAGATGACCCTGGGGGACCCCCCCTTCCAACTCTATGATTCAACGTTCCCAAGTTTTTAGGAGACTTTATAAATGGCTTCACATTCCAAACACTTCAAAAATATGCAGACTCATAATTTTAAGAAACAGTGTTGATGTGTGTGTGTGTGTGTGTATCTCTATGTACACCTCTATGTATACCTATCTATAAAAATATATGAAGCTGCCTTATACTGAATCAGACCTTTGGCCCACTGAGGTCAGTATTGTCTACTCAGACTGGCAGCTGATCTCCAGGGTCTCAGGCCTTTCACATGGCCTACTATCTGAACTTTTTAACTGGAGATGCCAGGGATTGAACCGGGGACCTTCTGCACGCCAAGCAGAGGCTCTACCACTGAGCCACAGCCCCTACTCAGACTGGCAGCAGCGCTCCAGGGTCCTTGGCGGACGTGTTTGACATCATCTACTCTCTAGTCCAGTGGTGGCGAACCTATGGCACGGGTGCCAGAGGTGGCACTCAGAGCCCTCTCTGTGGGCACGTGTGCCATCGCCCCAGCCAGGCCCAGACCATCATTAAAGTGTCGAATTCTCCGCCAAATAATTTTAAGTAATGAAAGCATTGCTTTCATTACTTTGTTTGGATCCTCTTAAGTTAATGTATAAGTTGTTTTTTCTAAAGCAAAAGCTCAGTATTCAGGTTAAATTGCCGTGTTGGCACTTTGCGATAAGTGAGTGGGTTTCGGGTCGCAGTTTGGGCACTCGGTCTCTAAAAGGTTCGCCATCACTGCTCTAGTCCTTTTAACTGGAGATGCTACCAGGGATTGAACCTGGGACCTTCTGCATGCCAAGCGGAGGCTCTTCCCCTGAGCCACAGCCCCTATTCCAACTGGCATTGGCTCTCCAGGATTCCCGGATGAGATCTGTCACATCACCCCAATGCTCCCTCTAAGCCGTGGAGTCTCGTGAGCAAAAGTTCTACTTTGTGAGCTACTGGCGGTAAAGTTGCGGAACAAAGCTAGAGTCCGGTGGGGCACCTTTAAGACCAACAAAGGTTTATTCAAGGTATGCGCTTTCGTGTGCCAGGCACACTTTTTCAGTGAAGTGGTGTGCGAGCGATTTGACCACTGCCTAAATTAGTGTGCTCTGGACTCGCAATGTTCCCTCTAAGCAAAAAATTCTACTTGGTGAGCTGCTGGCATTAAAGTTGTGAGCGAGCGATTTGGCTACTGCCTAAATTAGTTTGCCCTGGAGCCGTCCTTCCTGAGCGAAGACAGAAATGTGTGAGCTGGAGGCTAAAAGACTGTGAGCTGGCTCACACTAACTCGGCTTCGAGGGAACACTGCTCTGGAGCCGTCCTTCCTGAGCTAAGACAAAAAGGTATGAGCCAGAGGCTAAAAAAACCCGTGAGCTGGCTCACACTAACTCAGCTTGGAGGGAACACTGCATTTGGGATTGCTTCCCTTACTTTGTTTGGATCCCCTTAAGTTAATGTACGAGTTGTTTTTTCTAAAGTAAAACCTCAGTATTCGGGTTAAATTGCCGTGTTGGCACTTTGCGATAAATAAGTGGGTTTTGGGTCGCAGTTTGGGCACTCGGTCTCTAAAAGGTTCGCCATCACTGCTCTAGTCCTTTTAACTGGAGATGCTACTGAACCTGGGACTGAACCTGGGACCTTCGGCATGCCAAGCAGACGCTCCACCGCTGAGCCAGGGCCCCTCTCGGAGACCCCCTCTTCGCGAGCAGACTAGGAACAGATTCCCAAAGTGGGTGGCTGTCTGCTTAGCCGGCCGGAGGCTGGAAAGGGAGGGCAGAGAAGGGGGTCGACCCTAGGAGATCCTTCCCGAGGGATGCCCACCCACACTCACCGATGGTGCTGATGTACGTGCCGCTGAAGTTATCCTCGGCGAAGCGGATGATCAGGCAAGTCTTGCCCACGCCACTGTCCCCGATCAGCAGGAGTTTGAAGAGGTGGTCGTAAGATTTGGCCATGTCCCTGGTTCTGCCTGGCGGGGGTGTGCGTGGGTGGTGGTGTCCCTTTTATTTTTGCTTCCCGGGACAGGGGGAGGGGGGGAATAGGGAATCCGGAGAGATAAAGTTAAGAGAGTTGGAGAGCTGGCTCCTCCCCGCAGCACCAACCCTTTCCTCCTCTTCCTCCTTCTCTCCGGCCAGACAGACCACTCCCTCCTGCCCTTTTTCTTTTCCTTTCTGGTTGTTCCTTTTCGCTGGAAGGCAACAACGGGGAAAAAAGAGCCATTCCCCTCGGACAGGGAGGGGTTAACCGCAGAGCCGAACTGCAACGCCAGGGTTGGTGGCTCGGCCCCCCGAAAGGAAACTTGGTGTTCATTCATTCGGAAGGAGATCTTGGGCTGGAAGAGAAAGGGAGAGGAAAGCTGAGACGCAGAATAAAACTTTTGTTGGTCTTAAAGGTGCCACTGGACTCAGGCTTCGTTCTAGTGTTTCCAGGGCTGCTGCTGCTTCTTTTTTTTAAGAAAAAGAGGTGCCTGAAATGACGTTTTCAGTCTGTATACTGCCGGTGTTCCCTCTAAGCTGAGTTAGTGTGAGCCAGCTCACAGTTTTTCAGCCTCCGGCTCACACCTTTTTGCCTTCGCTCAGGGAGGATGGCTCCAGGGCAAACGAATTCATGCAGTAGCCCAATCGCTCGCTCACAAACTTTAAGGCCAGGAGCTCACAAAGTAGAATTTTTGCTCACAAGACTCCATGGCTTAGGATTGCTGAAAACTGAAAACTCACCGATGGAGGATTGCTAAAAACTCACCGATGGTTAAACGTTTTCAAAAGAAGTTTGTCAAAGAGGTGCTGGTTCCACTGCGTTCCCCCAGAGAAAAAGCCCTGGCTGTTTCACAACAACAGGGCTACCCACATGAATATAGACACAAGAAGGGTTTAGTTTGAGCCCTGGAATGCCAGCACAGCGTGTGCACAGAAGCCTAGCAGTGCACTAAACTGGATTCCAACAACAACAACAACAAAAATTTCATGGACTCGAGCCCCAGTCCTTTCCATGCGATATGTGAATCCTTCTCACTTCAAAAACGATCAAACCACAAAATGCAGGAAGTGGAAAGGGAATTATTTAAAACTCAGTTTGAATCAAGTCAGACAGAAGAGGCCATCCACAAGCAGGCTAAGCCAGTGAAACCCTCAAATAAGTGGGAGAAACCCGAAGTCTTTTTTCTAACGGGGGGTGGGATTTCTTATACAGCCAGTTTGGTGTAGTGGTTAGGACCGTGGACTCTAATCTGAGAGAACCGGGTTTGATTTCCCACTCCTCCACATGCAGTTGCTGGTGTGACCTCAGGACAGTCACAAGTTCTTTCAGAGCTGTTCTCTCAAGAGCAGTCCTCAAGAGAGCTCTCTCAGCCCCACCTACCTCACAGGGTGTCTGTTGTGGGGAGGGGGAAGGAAAGGAGATTGTAAGCCGCTCTGAGACGCCTTTGGGTAGTGAAGTGCGGGGTATGAATCCAATCCCCTCCTCCTCCTCTTCTTTTTTGTCTGCTTCCCCTCCACAGCTAGGGTTGCCAGATCCAGGTTGGGAACCTCCTGGAGATTTGGGGGTGGAGCCAGAGGAGGACAAGGGACCTCAGTGGGGTACAATGCCACAGGGTCCACCCTCCATGGCAGCCATTTCCTCCAGGGGAACTGATCTCTGTAGTCTGGAGATGAGTGTAATCCCGGGAGATCCCCAGGTCCCACCTGGAGGCTGGCATCCCTGTATTATATGATTGTATTGTATTATGATATCAGCCAATATGCTCCTCAATGTGTTTGACCTCTGAAGAAGGCCTATACAGGCCGAAACGCGTCAGGTCAAGTCCATTGGCCCTTGTGTGCTAGATTTTGGTATTTTTTTACCTCAGGTGTGATTGGGCCCTTATGTGTTTTTTAGATTCTTTGTTAATAAATACATGTATCTTTTTATACTATATACATTCAGTTTTTATTGTTGGCCCTCTATTCTGTTTGACTTGCCTTTTTAGGTTCTGGATCCCTGTGACCCCAACAGTGCCATTCAAGTCCAGTAGTACCTGAGAGACCAAGAAGGGTTTCAGGGTATGAACCAGAGCTCTCTTCTGGTCCCTAAGGTGCTACCGGACTCCGATCGAACAGCTCTACTACAGACGCTCTGAAACAATCTTTTCCCCAACAGCCAGCCACCGAAAAGGATTTCCACTTGAGGACCAGCTGGTACACAGCCAGATCGGGGGACGCCGGTATGAGGGGATTCAGGGCAGTGATTTCAGAGAATCCTGAAAGGGCCTCTCCAGAGTGGCTGAATGGGAACAGCATGGCGTATGAGGCTCCATGCATACGCCATGACTTATTTATGACTACTCGGCCCTTCTCTGCAATTCATGGTCGCATTTATTGACTATAAATCTGCATTTAATTCTATTTCAAGACATTATCTGTGGAGGAAATGAATTCAGCTGAGAACATAGGCAGTTGTTAGCGTGTATTATAGGCCTTTATATACCAACATTGATTTAAATGGCAGATTCGGGCTCCATGGTCGGCTGTCCAACTTGGTTAAAATTTCAAAAGTGGGCTGGCAAGGTTGTATTTTGGACCTATTTTTCTTCAGTAGGTACATAGATTACATTTACAGGGTTTCCATTGCAGCTTGAGAAATTCCTGGAGATTTTGGGATAGTGCCTGAGGAGGAGGGAATTTGGGGAGGGTTTTCACCTAGAATTCATGGTATACCATACAGTCTTGCTGTCTGAAGCTGCCATTTTCTTCAAGGGCGTTGATCTTTGTAATCTGGACGAAGGAGAAGAGTTGGTTTTATACCACGCCATTTGCTACCCAAAGGAGTCTCGGAGCGGCTTACAATCACATTCCTTTCCACTCCCCACAACGAACAGACACCCTGTGAGGTGGGTGGGGCTGAGAAAGTTGTGAGAGAACTGTGACTGACCCAAAGTCACCCAGCTGGCTTCATGTGGAGAAGTGGAGAATCAAACATGGTTCTCCAGATTAGAGTCTGCCACTCTTTAAAGTACTACACCACAGCTGTATGCAGACCAGTGTTCCCTCTAAGCTGAGTTACATGTGAGCCAGCTCACAGTTTCTTAGCCTCCGGCTCACACATTTTTGTCTTCGCTCAGGAAGGACGGCTCCAGAGCAAGCTAATTTATGCAGCAGCCAAACCGCTCACTCACAACTTTAATGCCAGTAGCTCACAAAGTAGAATTTTTGTTCACAAGTCTCCGCAGCTTAGAGGGAGCCTTGACACAGACCCCATCTGGGGGTTCTAAATGATAAATATTTTGCCAGGACACCAGTTTTTCCTAGCAAAAGTACCGCGAAAGCCCATGTCATGTATTTATTAGTAGTAGTGTGCCTCCCTCCTTAGACTCAAGGCAAATTGCAAAATCAATTAAAAAAGGAAGCGGGTTACAAAATATGATAAAAACAGTTCAGTGAAATAGCAAACACTTCTGATTAACAAAACAATGCAGTGGGACTGGGACTGAAGGATTGGGAAACAAAGCAAGCAAACGAAACGGTGTCAAAAGCAATACAATAGCACAGGCAAAAAATCGTCTCAGGCCCCGGTCACACGGGAGGCTTTGCCCTGCGAAATCGACGGGTTGTGTAATGTATCCATCCCAGACCGTGTATGCGGCCATTGCGCCACGCGGTCAGGTGAAGCCGTCGAGCTTCGCTCCCAGGAACAATGGGACAAGCGGATCCTAGCCGCACCTATCAGCAAGCTAGGCTCCCAGTCAAGAGCCTATGGAACTCTCGACCACTGTAAATAGCCAATCACGAGTGTGTGGGTGTGTTTTGGGTGCGGGGTTGTTGTGCATATAATCCAGCCTGCGAGCTGGGCTACTTGTCTTTGTTCTGAGCTGAAATAAAGTATGAGAGCTGAAATCACCAGTAAGTCTCAGTAATTTCCACGTTGAGGGTGCATCAAATGGGCGCGATCATACCACAACATCTGGGAAGTGTCACGCACCCGTCCCCGATCCGTCCCTTCGGCCCGAAAACGCGCATTGAAAAGGTACCAGCAACACAGCACTACCTTCTGGATGACGCGCGGCAACTCCAGGCGTCTGATCGGGGAAGCACTGGTAGCCCGTCGCAGCCAGCGCCGTTCCCCGTCCCACGCATGCGCACAAACGCGCAATGTCCGTTTTGCTGTGCTACGTCTGATCGCCTGCCGGAGCACGGAACCATGGGGGTGCGTCGGATCACGCTACCGCGGTTCTTTTTGCTCCATCTCTAATTTGCCTCCCTTCAGCAGCGCAGTATCCCGCTTGTGTGACCGGGACCTCAGACAGCAAAACTGTCTGAAGATTGACATACCCTATGGAAGAGACAGTTACAAAGGCAGAAGACATCAAGATGCACATCTGCATCTTCTATTTCATTCATTGTTATTGGGACACAAGAATTAATGTTGAAATTCGTTGCCTCAAGAAGTGGCAGAGAACAGCCTGGTTCAGCCAGGAACACACACAAACAACACGTGTTTATTGCACAGTTGTATGCAGAACTGAGAGACATGCAAAATGGAACCTCCATGGTCAGAGGCAGTGTATTATTGTGCTGGGGACCTGTAAACAGAAAGAGAGGACGATCATCACTATCCTGCCCTGCTGAAGAGTTTTCCCAGGTGCATTTAACTTCCCAGCCAGACTGGAGAAGCGCCTAGAACATGACGTCATCTTGCAACAGTGACGTCATCGGGCGAGAGGGCTTTCTTAGGCCCCTGTGGTGTGCCGTCACTGACCTAACTCAGCCACTTCAATAACGTCTTCGGGTGACAAGCATGAGAACGGTGAGGAGGGGGTGAGTGGAAAAACTTGAACTCCTCACATATCCCTCGTCAGGCATGACGGCGCCGCCAACTCGGCGACGAGACCAGGCGCTGACGTCACGTCTCCCATTACCCCCCCCTCCACCCGAGGTCTTGTAAAGCCTTCTCAAAATGGCGGGCCAAAGATGAAAGGGCCGCCCTTCCCAACATGGCTTCCCGCGCGGTCCCAGCCTCACAAGATGGCGGCCCTTTGCCCGCGTAGCGACCTTCGCATCATGGCGGCGCATCCGAACGCCGCGCGGGGCCATCTCAGTTACGGGCGCTTCCTTCCCAAAATGGCGGCCTGAAGTCGCCCCCCCCCCACAGGCTCGGATTGGGCCCGCCCCCTTCGGCGCGACTTCCGCCCGTGCGGGAAACCCCGGAGCGGATATAGTGCCCTCTCTTTCCGGTCTGGCTCCTTTTCGGCCGTCGCTGCCTCCACGCGAACATGCCTGTAAGTCCGGGCTCGGGCCGGGCGCCGGCGGGGGAGGGCAGGTCGCTCGCGGCCCCCGCCTCGAAGCCCCTCGGATGGCGGACGGGGAGGGGGAGGCAGTGGGAGGGGGGAGGTACTGTCGCTCCCCCCTTCCCGGTATTTATTTTTGCTAAATGCGTCTTCTTCTTAGGAATGGGATATTTGCAGTGATCGCAAAGGGCGCCCAATTTAATGGCTAAAAAAGTAAAACCTGGGTTTTATTTTTTTTTGCTGGGGGTGTGTGTGTGTGGACGCCCTTTACCATTCGGCCTCGCGGAGGATGGCTGTCTTGGGCGCCGGCCTCACGCTCCCTGGTCCGAGGCAAGGGCTGTTGCACTCCGGGGGCTTTGCGGCCCTTCTAGAAAGATCTAAGGTTTTGTAGACCTTAATCCTCGTGCTTGTTGCAACAGCCTTGTGAGGTAGGCTGCGTCCCCTTGTACTGCGAACGGGGGGAGGGAGAACAGATGTTGACGTTTAGGAGTTTGAATAGGGGGACTTAGTGCGTTTATGGGCGAGAGGGAGATCTGAAGTCCCTTGGGGCAGAGCTTTGCTCTTTCACCTGCTGTGTCCTGCTAGCAGACTGGAACCAGGTCGGCAAGCTGTCTTCTATGGGCTTTTTAAATCTAGGTCCAGTGTTTGGGTACTGTCATGGCAGCGGACTGATCACAAGACACCTGCTTTCGTAGAAACTTCTACTTGACGTATTTACTTACCCTTTGTCCTTGCAGCTGGCAAAAGATCTCCTGCATCCCTCCCCCGAGGAGGAGAAGAGGAAGCATAAGAAGAAGCGTTTGGTCCAGAGTCCAAACTCTTACTTCATGGATGTGAAATGTCCAGGTGAAGTGGGAGGGTGCGGCCTTCAAGGCAGTTGGCCAGCCTCCTTGCTGCTTTGGGGACAGAAATTTGTGTTTTGATTCCATGCAATGCCGTCGCTGTGCCTGGGGTCACGACTCACACTGCCAGGGGTTGTTCGGGGCAGCCTGGTGTTTCTGCTGTTGGGAGTCTGGAGAGGGGTGCTGGTGGGGCCACTTGCAGTGTTCCCTCTAAGATGAGTTAGTGTGAGTTCAGCTCACAGATTTTTGTTTTACCTCAGGAAGGGTGGCTCCAGAGCAAGCGAACGTATGCAGCAGCCAAATCGCTCGCTCACAATTTCAATGCCAGTGGCTCACAAAGCAGAATTTTTGCTCACAAGACTCCACAGCTTAGAGGGAGCCTTGGGGGCTAATTTTAGAACACTCTTAATCTGGGGGGCAGATAGAGAGATGTCCTTGCACGTTGCTCCCTTTATAGGGAATGTGTGTGGTCTTTTTAAAATTATGATATTGTTGTTATGTAAGCCCATGCAAGGTATTTGAAGAAATGAAACTGTGAGAAAGGGGGGGACACATAGATGTACAGGACTGACCGCTATCCCAGCCCCTGCCTAGTTCTAGACGACTTAGGAGTGTTGCGCTTGCCGGCAGTTAAACAGAGCATGCTCCTCCTCATGAAAGCAGACCTGAGCAGGATTGTTTTTCCCCCTTTTCTTCCTAGGTTGCTACAAAATCACCACTGTGTTCAGTCACGCTCAGACGGTGGTTCTCTGTGTCGGCTGCTCGACTGTCTTGTGCCAGCCCACTGGAGGGAAGGCCAGGTTGACAGAAGGTAAGGGGGATGGATGATGTGTTGAGGGGGCATTAAAGGGTGGTGTTAAGTCTAGTGAATGTTTTTATGTGTCTGTCCTTCCCCACCTGTGGCTTTTTTGACTCATATTGATGGTATGAAAGGGGAGGGGGGATTACTCGGTTTTTTTAGTCTGAATGAGAGAACCTGGAAATAGATTTATGAGAGGGAAACATTTCCCCCCCCCCCCTTTCAGTTGTAAGAGCTCAGGTCGGGGAAAGACAACGGGAGCTCTGAAGCCAGTGGCTGCGCAGGGCTGCAACTGGGAGTGGTTTATGGGTGCCGCTGGGAATACACAGCTGCTCACTTTTGACTGCCAAGCCCTGTTTGCCGAGCAGATGGGAGCAGGAACCCACACAGGTCTCCCCCTTCCTCCCTGAAGAAATGCTGTTGTGGTTGTTTTTCTGTTATCTGTTCTCAGGCAGGGTGTGAGCCCTGTTTTGCTTCCTCAAAAAAAAAAAACCTACCGAGAATTTATTTTTAAATGGTAGGCTGCTGTCTTTGTGTGAGGCTTGGTGGCTGCTGGGGGTGGGGACGTGGCTCAGTGGAAGAGCACATGCTTTGCATGCAGAAGGCCCCCGGTTCCATCCCCGGCACCCTCAGTTAAAGAGGACCAGGAAGTAGGTGATGTGAAAGATCCCCCTGTGAGACCCTGGAGAACCGCTGCCTGTCCGAGTAGGGGCCATGGCTCAGTGGCAGAGCCTCTGCTTGGCACGCGGAAGGTCCCTGGTTCAATCCCCAGCATCTGCAGTTAAGGACCAGGCAGTAGGTGATGCGAAAGACCTCCCCCTGAGATCCTGGACAGCCAATGGTAGTCTTAAGTAGGGGCTGTGGCTGAGTGGCAGAGCATCTGCTGAGCATGCAGGAAGGTCAGGTACAACTCCCAGCATTTCTAGTTAAAAAGGACCACACAGTAGGTGATGCCTGTAACTCTGGAGAGCTTGTACGAGTCTGACTAGACAATGCTGATGTTGACAGGCCAATGGCTTGATTCAGTATAAGGCAGTTGCGTGCGTGGTGGATGGCTGTTGTGCTCTCACTTTTGGCTTAAATGGCGATGTGGTATCACTGCTTTGCGCAAGAGGCTGTGTCGTGTTCCAGAAGCGGCCTCCGGACGCACGTGCAGACGTGGTGCCGCGTCCTGTCCGGACTGCCTTTGGCTCACGGCGCTTGTCCTTTTCTCTTTCCAGGATGCTCCTTCAGGCGAAAGCAGCATTAGATTTCAGCAGCTGGTGGTCCCAGATGGGTGGGGCTACGCGCACAGTCGCTGGCTCAAGTCCCGAAGGTTCAAGAGTGCCGATCAGGGGACGCGAGAAACACGGGCTGTGACTGCATGGCTCTTGAGGCTTCAGCCACTCGCGATGGCACACGAGGAGGAAATGTGCACTGTCCTTGTAGCCTCACCCATTTGATTCAATAAATTTTGGATAAAAATACACGGCCTGGTGTGTGTGTGTGTGTGTTACCTGGGAGTTCAAGGATGGGTTCTTTGCAATGAGCACAACTGCTGGAAGCTGCTATGGAGTCTCGTGTGGGGCGAAAACAACAATGGGTGATGGGCTTTTGAGAGCCTTGGCTCTTTTGAGCAGAAGAAGAAGAGAAGAAGAGATTGGATTTGGACCCCGTTCTTCACTCAGAGTCTCAGAGCAGCTTACAAACTCCTTTCCCTTCCCCTCCCCACAACAGACACCCTGTGAGGTAGGTGGGGCTGAGAGCTCTGACAGAAACTGCTCTTTTCAAGAACAGCTCTAACAGAACTATGGCCTGCCCAAGGTCATCCAGCAGCTGTAAGTGGAGTGGGGAATCAAACCCGGTTCTCCCAGATCAGAGTCCACGCACTTAGCCACTACACCAAACAGTGTGTTGTCAATAAAAATCCCTCTGTGCAGTTTATGGGTAAAAGGGGAGAGATTTTTCATCGCCTCTGCAAGTGAAACACAACAGGCCTTTAGAGCAGAGGGTGCCGCATTCCCTTTCTCAACACGAAGAAGGTAGCTGCCCCCGATTAAAAGACGACACGAGACCCAGCCACCAGCTTCACCGCTTTACTCTTTACACAACGCCGGAAGCACTTCATCGCCTTACGTTCCACAGCCAGGCCTGGGTCCTGTTCCTTGCACTGGGGTGCTGAGGCTGCCCGTGAGACGGATGATAGCTGTATGCTGGAAGAAGGAAGGGGGGGGGGAGAACCTTGAGTGTGGCTGTGTCACAGGGAAGGGAGCGGAGCTAAAACCGGTTGAATTAAGCTGGATTCTGTTGAAACGCCACACTCTAGAGCTGCTCTCTCTGGTGTAATATGATGAGAGCAGCTGGGGGGAAGATGCCTATTTTATGTTTCTGTTGCCGGGGGTGGGAAGGGACCTAAAGAAGGCACAGGCTGGGTGCCAAGCATTTGCGGCTCCTCTGGGATGCTGTGCCTGAGGCAGGCTCCAAGTTTCAGGAGCAAAGTTCAGATGTGTGGTGGTGGTTTGAGGTGTTCTTTCCACTGCTGCGTATGGACTTAAGACATCCTTCAAGAAGCAAAGTTGCACCTCGTGTATGTGTTAAACCAGCTCCAACCATGCGGGATTGGGTGACAAGCATGAGAATACTGAGTAGGGGATGAGTGGAAAAATTTGGGATTTTCTTAATTTTTTTTCCCCTTGGGATTACTTCAACAAAGCCTCCTTGGGGAAAGCCCACCCCTGGGTTAAGATGCTGCCGATCGTCCTGCTAAGGTTGGGCACCGGTGGTCCCTGAGGCGACCTGAGCTTTGGCGACTGCTGAGGATGCAGGCGTGGCTGCAGGAAGGCTTTGGCTGCACTCACCTGTCTGTAGCGTAGATGAGGTGGGAATATACACCAGGGGGACGGTTTGTATTCTGGTCAGAAAGGCATTGTAAGCTGCAAGGGAGGAAATCACTGCATCAGGATTAACCTTTCTGATTATGGCAGCAGGGACCTGATATTTTTGTTTTGTTTTGCCGTCAAGTTGCGGGCTGACACGGTGGCCCCGTAGGGTTTCCAAGGCAAGAGGCATTCAGAGGTGGTTTGCCCTTGCCTGCCTCTGCCTCGTGATGACCTTGGTATTCCTTGGTGGTCTCCCACCCAAACACTGACCAGGGCTGGCCCTGCTGAGCTCCCAAGGTCTGATGTGATCGGGCCAGCCTGGGCTATCTGGGGCAGGGCAGAACCTGAATGGGTAGCTTTATTAGGAATGGAGCTGCAGCAGAGCTATGATATGCTCAGTGATGGGGAAACACAACCTATATAAGTACATCATGGTGCACTGGCTACATCCAGCTTCTCTGATAAGGAGCTGAATGTTCTACCGATTAATACTCTCTTCAGAGTATTAATACTCTCCAGAGCCCTTCGGGGGTGGGCGGGGTAAAAATCCCATGTAATAATAATAATTCATGGTACATTAATATTCCCAAGAACATAAGGGCCCTGCTGGATGAGAGGAGCAGTCCATCCAGTCCTGCATCCTGTCTCACACAGTGGCCAAACAGTTCCTCTGGATGGCCAACAGGGCAGAGAGGCCGAGTCCTTCCTCTGATGTTCCCTCCTGGCTCTGGGATTCAGAGGTTCAGTGCCTCTGAATGTGGAAATTTCCCTCAGTCATCATGGCTTGCAGCCATTAATAGATGTCCTCCGTGCATCTATCTAATACCCTTTTAAAGCTGCTTATCCCTGTGGCCATTGCTACATCCTCTGGCAGCGAATTCCACATTTTAATCGCTCTGTGTAAAGTAGTCTTTCCTTTCCTGAACCTACTGCCCAACAGCTTCACTGGATTCCCTTGAGCCCTAGTATTTGGGAAGGGGAGAAAAAGCCTCCTGTCACAGGAGTCCTTAACAAGTATCCTGTAACTTAGACACACACACCCCTTCATATTGTGGCTAATATGTTATTTGCCCAACCCTTTGTAAGTAACAGATGCATAGTTGCTGGTTCTCATGCTGGCTGAGAATCCTTTGAAGCAACACCTCTCCCCCCCCCCCCGCAGCATCTTACCCATCTGCCTGAATAAAGTTCACGTCTCTGCTACTTACTGAGAAAGATGACAGAGGTAGATGCTAGGATAGCAAAGATGGTGAAGAGGAGGACCTGGTAGGAGCCGACCAGCTGGCGGACAATTCCGGCTTCAGCACACTGACCTAGATGGGCCACAGAGAGAGGTGTTGTTGTTTTTTTTTACCCCTTGGGTGATACAACCAAAAAAAACTGAAGACAGGTCAAGATGGGTTGCCGTGGTAGTCTGTCTGTAGCAGCAGAAAAGTCCAGTGGCTCCTTAAAGATTAACAAAATTTGTGGCAGGGTAACAGCTTTCGTGAGTGACTGGCATCTGAAGAAGTGAGGAGTGACTCACGAAAGCACAAAAACCGAAGACTATTTGATGTGACTTACTGACAAACTTGAATAATATTTCTGGTTGATACTGCATTCCCCCCCCCCCCCTGCGCTCTGCCTGAAAAAAAGGCAAAAAAGGGGGG